GTTTCTTGGCTCCCATTGGGATGCTTGATGATGCATTTCAGAGGCTGAAGGAAGAAGACAGTTTTTATTCCCTCCTTCTCTTTCAAGGGAGCAAGTTAACTGAAGCTTCTCACAGGAAAATTCCTACGTGTTTTTAAAGGGTTGAAAATGGAAAATTGTAGCTCGGGGGGGACTTAACTTAGAAGTGTGGTCGCAGCTTCTTCTAGGGAACACTCGTGCTTAAGGCAACAAGTCCAGGAATTCAGAGTATCGTACAAGGGTTTCTCGTAAGCGTTCAGAATAACATGATCTGATTCTGACTTGCTCTCCAGCCCCTCAGACCACTGGTGCAAAGTGTCTCGTCCGGCTGGCAGGCCGCACCGCCCGTGGCTGCCTGCGCTGCTTCAGGCCCCGAGCGCACAGCTCGACACCACTCCCCGTTGGTGGCACATCCCTGCCCCCCCGAACGCAATGACAAGACGCCCAGACAGTTACCTTTCCAGGTGCAAAGTCTGCCAGCCCCACGATGCTCAGCTTGTCCACAGGATGAATCTTGTTGTAGTCTGCTGGATCAGCGAAAGTGAGAGGCAGTAGACCTTGCTTCTTCAGGTTGGTTTCTGCAGAGAACAAACCACCAAGCACGCTTGTAATGACACTGCAGGGGATCAGGATTATCTTCTAGTGCTTCTCAGAGGAGTATTCCAGGAACAATTACTACCTTTGTAGCAAAATCAGCGTATCTGCTATTTGTGGTGTATCTAACTAGATATGTAACAGGATTCCTGACAAGAGGGACCTCATGATCTGTCAGCAGATAGGGCATAAGCGTTGAGCCCTGGGGCAAGGTGAACACTGCTTCCACCCAAACCAAATATATCCTGTTTACACACATGGCAGGGGAAGTGCGACTCACCATGGATCCTGGCAAAGCTCTTGGTGATGATGACCCTGCCCCCCAAGTGACGTGGCTCCAATGCTGCGTGCTCCCGGCTTGATCCCTCACCGTAGTTTTCATCCCCAATAACTGCCCATTTGACACCCATTTTCTGTGGCAAAAGAAAGAGATTTACATTTCTGCAGTTGCTCAAGGGAGGAATTAACAATAAATATACACTCAGAATCACAGAGCGGTAGATGTTGGAAGGGACCTCTGGAGATCA